GAATACAGCTAATTTGTCAGGTGAAAAAGCTCCCAGAAAATCAGATTAGGAGACAAGGAAGGCAGAGAGAGCACGTGTGAAAACCAAAAAAAAATATAAATAAAAAAAAAGTGCACAAGCCTGTAAGTGCTCATAGCAACTAGTGATGCAATGCACTGATATATGAGCCACCGAAAATTCATTGGCCAAAAATAGGGTTATTGACATTTTGCCGATAGGAAAAAAAAGGTGCAGATAATTGACTTAAATGCAAAACTGCGTCCCATTAACTTCAATGCAGATTCTTCATAAGTGTTAATATTCATCTGTAAAAGGTGCCTACCATCATTATTCATATGCAATAAGAAAAGTCCTTCTTCTGTTCCCAAAGCAACTCTTTCTTGATCTAGGGGAAAAAAAAAAAAACCAAACAAACATACTGTAAATTGCCACTCTCCAATCACTGTATTCTATTACCACTATGCAAAGGCTACTTAACCACTTCAAGTCCCCTTCCAGTCCAGGACATTTTTCAGTTTTCAGCACTGTCACATTTGGAATGACAATTACTCTGACATGCAATACTGTACCCAAATGCAAGTTTTATCATTTTTAAAATGGATATATTATAGCTTTCTTTTGTTGGCATTTAATCACCACTTTTTACATTATTTGTAATATAAACGAAAAAGACCAAAAAAAAAAACAAAAAAAACACACCCACATACTTCTTAGTGTCTGTTATAACATTTTTAAAATAATCTTTTTTTTCTATAAATTTAAGCCAAAATGTACTTATTTAGGCTGTGTGAAATGAATATATACCATAGTTTGAACTTAAAAAAATGAACAACCCTGATGCACTGACTGCCCATCTCATTTCTTCAGGCCCTAAAATGGCAAAACAGTACAATCACTACACAAATGACTCATTTTTGGAAAATAGACAGGTCAAAGTATGTAATAAGAGCCATGGTGAAGTTTTAATTTTTTTGTCACAATATCATGACAAAAATTTGTAATTCTAAGTTATTACGCACACACGGCATAGACAATTACATCCCAAAATACATTCTGCCACGTCTCTCTCAAGTATAAGGATACCACATGTGAGAATTTTTCACAGCCTAGATGCATAGAGGGGCCAAAAATCCAAGGAGCACCTTCGTGTTCCAGGGGCATAAATTATAGATCTAATTTCTGGACTACATTTTTGGAGGCCCTGGAGCACCAGGACAGTGAAACACTCACAAAATGCAGTATTTTGAAAAGCAAACACTCCAAGGTATTTTCTGAAAGTCATAGTGAGTCTTGGGCCCAATATGTCAATATTTTGTGTGGCCACCATTATTTTCAAGTACTGCCTTAACTCTCTTGGGCATGGAATTCACCAGAGCTTCACAGGTTGCCACTGGAGTCCTCTTCCACTTCTCTATGAGGACATCATGGAGCTGGTGGATGTTAGAGCCCCACAGATGCTCAATAGGGTTTCGGTCAGGAGACATGCTTGGCCAGTCCATCACCTTTACCCTCAGCTTCTTAAGCAGGGCAGTGGTCGTCTTGGAGGTGTGTTTGGGGTTATGTTGGAATACTGCCCTAAGGGAGGGGATCATGCTCTGGTTCAGTATGTCACAGTACATGTTGGCATTCATGGTTCCCTCAATGAACTGTAGCTCCCCAGTGCCGTCAGCACTCATGCAGCCCCAGACCATGACACTCCAACCGCCATGCTTGACTGTAGGTAAGACACACTTGTCTTTGTACTCCTCACCTGGTTGCTGCCACACACACTTGACACCATCTGAGCCAAACACGTTTATCTTGGATTCATCAGACCACAGGACATGGTTCCAGTAATCCATGTCCTTAGTATGCTTGTCTTCAGCAAACTGTTTGCGGGCTTTTTAGCTTGTGCATCATCTTTAGAAGAGGCTTCCTTCTGGGACAAGAGTCATGCAGACCAATTTGATTCAGTGTGCGGCGTATGGTCTGAGCACTGACAGGCTGACTCCCCACCCCTTCAACCTCTGCAGAAATGCTGGCAGCACTCATACATCTATTTCCCAAAGACAACCTCTGGATATGACGCTGAGCAAGTGCACTCAACTTTTTTGGTCGACCATGGCGAGGCCTGTTCTGAGTGGAACCTGTCCTGTTAAACCGCTGTACGGTGTTGGCCCCCGTGCTGCAGCTCAGTTTCAGGGTCTTGGCAATTATTTTATAGCCTAGGCCATCTTTATGTAGAGCAACAATTCTTTTTTTCAGATCCTCAGAGAGTTCTTTGCCATGAGGTGCCATGTTGAACTTCCAGTGACCAGTATGTTATGGAATATAGAGAGTGAGAATGATAACACCAAATTTAACACACCTGCTCCCCATTCACACCTGAGACCTTGTTACACTAAGGAGTCCCATGACACCAGGGAGGGAAAATGGCTAATTGGGACCAATTTGGACATTTTCACTTAGGGGTGTACTCACTTTAGTTGCCAGCAGTTTAGACATTAATGGCTGTGTGTTAAGTTATTTTGAGGAGACAGCAAATTTACAGTTATACAAGCTGTACACTCAATACTTAACACTGCAGAAATGACACTTTGCTACAATGTAGTCACATGAAAAGATATAAAATATTTACAAGAATGTGAGAGGTGTACTCACTTCTGTCAGATACTGTACTTACCTAGGCGGATGCAGGATCAGTCCGATGCTGCATGTGTCCCCTATCAGCTCTAAGGGTGATAACTCAGCGGTCATATGACTTCCTGATCGCCAAGTTCTCACAGCCACTCTGAGCAGAGAGCGGTGACTGTCAGTCACCGCTGTCTGCTCTGCCCCCCCCCGTGTGGAGGGATCAGCTGGCTCAGGTTCTCAGCGGCTCGCTGATAGGCTGACCCAGGTTCCAGTCCAGACTCTGGGGTGGATCCCGACTTTAAAGTCCAGATCTTTCCCCAGCCTGGACTGGCTGAGTGACATCAGCTGACAGCGGACTTCAGTCTGCGGTCAGCTGAAAATTGGTCACAGGAGTTCAGAATGAACTGCACACCTATGATCCACAGGAGAAGTACAGCCAAAAGAGCTTTGGCTGTACTCCTTTAACAGTCCAGGGTTAGTATAGGCAGAGGTAACACTGCACTCGTGTGGAAGCAATCAGGAAACCTGCTTCTGAATTACACTGGTCTGGAGACACTAGTATTGGTGTAGTGACATTTAGGGATAATGTTGCAGGCTTACTCTAGTGTGATGACAGAGACTGGTGTGGCAATGAGAAGGAGCACTGTTGCTGACATACACTGATCTGGTGACACTAATTAGTGTGGCAATGATCAGGGACAATATGACTGGAGTGACAGTGATCAGGGACGCTGTAACTGGTGTACTGTATAGTGCTAGCCACACTGTACTGCTCTGGAGAAGTGAGCAGGTTTTTGTTCACTATTATTGCTTATAAAGTGATGATCCCTGTATAAACAATGTGACTTTAACTGTGTTTGGCATCAATTCATGATGCCATTGTTTACTATTGCAATTGATATGATTGGCCACAGCTATTTTATGGTACAGGGCCATTGTGGTTGGCCCTGTACTGTGATCACTGTGACCAATCACATAGATCACAGTAGCAAGGAATGGTATCATGAATGACAGCCATTGTTTACTACTGGACATCACATGATACCAGGGCCAATCACAGCAGCCCAGTACCCTGATTGGTGATCCACTATTTTGAAAGCATGCATGAGTGGGCAGTGCAGGAGGACATACAGGTATGTCCATTCGCAATGTCGCTGCTCCTGTCTGGCCATTTATTTACATTGGCCAGATGGGAGGTGGCTAAAGCTAAACTTCATCATTCATTTAACTATAAATAGTTCATTTAGACCAAACTGATCCAAAAGGAACTATTTCATTCACTAACAGATGTGCCTGCTGTCAGTGCTGTATAAGCTAAGCATCACCAGCTTCACACAGTATACAGAATTGTGCTCCTTCAGCGTAATGGGGACTTCCCAAACTCAGAACAAAATCAAGTCTGGCTGAGTGCAGCTCAGCCATTCACAGGAAGGTTTGTATTTTTATGAATGAATACAAGGCTTCCTCTGATTGACTGAGGTGGGCAATCTCCAATCTGCAAGGAAGCCTTGCATTTACTGATAAAATACAAAGCTTCCTGTGAATGGCTGAGCAGCAATCTGTCCTGATTTTACCCGGGGAGCAGATGGGAAGTTACCATCTGGCTGCTGAAACACAGAGCTGTATACTGTATGTAGTTGAGTCTACATACAATGTATACAGTGCCGATAGGGGGCTAAAGCGTTCGTGAAGGAAAAAGTTTATTTGGACCAACTTGTTCCAAAATGAACTAAAGTTAACTGAAAGCTGAAGTTAAGATTTAAGTCTTTGTGGTAACAGCAGAAAAATATATGGATCAGTGTTGCTGTATATTTCAATATGTCAGTTGAGCAGTCAGTTAAATAGAACAGCCAAAAACACACTGTTTAGGGCACATTTTCTTTAAAGCTGAACTCTAGACAGATCTACAAAAACAAAGCAATTATGCAGCTCTGTATTCATTAATACATCCAAAAAATTATGGTTGAATGGAAGCAGTGTAAGTACCTGAAACTGACTTGATATCAGCCTCCTGCAGACCTGTAAAGTTTGGACTGAGGGTGGAAGAAGCAGCACAGTGAGACAATCTGTTTTGCTGTAGTGCCAAGTACATGCTGGTAGGAGAAGATAGAGGAGCCACAGAGATCTCATCTGTGCTGTGTATTGCTTCTCCTTTTCACCGTCCAGTCACAGGGTGTGTGTTGGGGGGGAAAAGTGCTGTGTGGCAGAGCTGTGTAAATCTCAAAACAGTATGGACAGAAATACAAATCCTTTGGCAGGTAAAACAGCTTCCTTATATGCATTTCATCTGTGTATTTAGGTATTTGCCTGGAGTTTAGCTCTAAACTTCTTCTCTCTGTGCTAACGGTAGAGAACAGAAATAAACTAAATTCAATTGTGATCCCATTACCTAGGATGGCTGCACACTGCGCTGTTCTTATTAGCGGCAATGCACTATCATAAGCTTCCTTCAGCAAACGGACCGAGCGGTCTTGTGGCTTCTGTTCATTCAGGAGTGACTTGAGCTCTTTCAGTACCTGAACCCATTTCTGCATATCCTCTTCAGTGTCTGCCAGCAGGAGCTGAGTGGATGTGGTGGGTGGGGATGAGAGCTGAAAGAAGGTCACCTGCAATACATGGAAATGAACATGCGAGTGCCATCAATGTCTGGAGTACTCGGAACCATGGATACATAAAACTCTGAATATATGTGCGAATAGTGAAAAAATACACAAACATAATTAGGGTATCAAAACTACCCAAAACAGTAGACATAGCTTTAAAATGAAATACAGTATTTGTTTTGACAAAAATATAGAATTAGGAGTGAGTGTACACATCTTACCCGGAATATACAAGGAATGTCTTTGGGGTTTGCATGAATCACATCAGACTCCAATACTGAACTGACTGAAAAATTATTGTCCCTTTAAAGAAATAAAAAAAGAACAAAAAGCAACTTAATCTCATTTAGTGGTAAATAAGTTTAAGGGTCCATTTACACGGGGCGCTCTACTGCAAGCCCTATGTAGTTCCGTGTTTTCTCGGCACAAGGATGCACAGGAGTTGCATGCATCCCCGTGCCAGCGTCCCATTCATTTCTACTGAGACATATGGCTGCACGGACACAGTTGCTGCATCCTAATAGGACATACAGATGAGTGAGGGTCCCTGAACACACCCTGTATGCGTACAGGGACCCACACCCTTAATATGGCATGCGGGCAAGTGCCGGTTCCCAAACACATACAGGGTGTGTTCAGGGACCCACATTCATTCTCATGTCATATGAGGACACAGAGGCTGTGTCCATGCAGCCATGGGTCCCAATACAAATGAATAGGATACTGGTACATGGATGCGTGCCACACCTGTGCATCCCCATGCTGAGAAAACACAGACCTGCACTGGGCCTGTAGCAAGGCACCATTCACATGGATCAATTTGCTCCATGGCCCAAGCAGGGCCGTCGTTTTACTGGCACGAGGATGCAAAAGTGCAGTGCACATCTCTGTGCCAGTGTCTCATTTTAGTCTATTGAGACATGCAGCTGTAGAGACACAGCCGCTGTGTACCTATGACATGCGGCTGCGGGTCCCCAAACTCACCTTGTGTGCCTTCAGAGACCTGCACCACCCACATGTCATATAGGGACACAATGGCTGTGACCATGCAGCCGCATGTCTCAATAGACTAAAATGGGACGCTGGCATGTTGATGCACAGGTGCTGTGTAAAAAGATGGCCTGCGTGGGCCACGGAGCAAATCGCCCCATGTGAACAGGGCCTAAAGCACCTGTGTAAACCTGTGCGAATGGACCCCAAGTAGCAGGACAGTTAAAAAATATTGTGATTGTCTAATAGACTGCAAGCCCCTACCGTAATTGCAATAATGGGTTGCTGGGAAATTTAGGCTGACCATACACTATACAATCTGATTGTAAAATTGCCATTAGATCTATCAACTATGAAACACAAGAGCCTACATGATTCAGTACTAAATGAATAGATTGTTTAGGTTCTCAAATTACATTTAGTTATGGTAAAACTAAAGGAAATTGTACAGGATTGTACAAGCAGATTGTAGAGTGCATGGCCAACTTTATGAGTCCAACAGTGTTGCTTACCTCAATAGAAGAATATTGCTAGTGCTATTGCTGCTCACCTTTCAAAAGGCTAGTTCGCTGGCTCCTTTTCATGGCAGTACACCGTGAATCACTATTCTGAGCAAGTACATAGATCAGAAAAGTCATAAGGCCTTATTTTTCAGTCAGTGACACACAGTATTGATGCAAAAAGGTCAGCCAAGCAACTAACGTTTTCAAGTTAGGAAGGCAGCAATCACAGCCTTCATGTTTCTCTGAAGACAAGCATTCTTTAAGATGAGCCACTAATGCAGAAATCAAAGCTCAACAATCCCCTATGCTGCCATCTCTTACTTGAACCAGTCTGTTTTTTTAACTATTTATTTCCACTTTACAAAGTCAAACAGAAATAGACAATCCATCTAGGAAGCAGATGATGACTACCAAGTATCAATAAACCAACATGTGAATAGCCCCATTGGACCCCTATACCAACCCATGAGAAAATTACAGCCTGTTATCTCTGTGGGACTGAGGGGCTCATATAACACAGATGACAGATAGCTGCAGGCAAGAGCATAATACAGTGGATATAAAAAGTCTATACACCCCTGTTAAAATGGCAGGTTTCCGTGATGTAAAAAATGAGACAAAGGTAAATCATTTCAGAACTTTTTCCACCTTTAATGTGACCTATAAACTGTACAACTCAGTTGAGCAACAAACTGAAATCTTTTAGGTGGAGGGAAGTAAAAATAAAAAACAAATAATATGGTTGTATAAATGTCCGCACCCTTAAACTAATACTTTGTTGAAGCACCTTTTGATTTTATTCCAGCACTCAGTCTTTTTGGGTATGAGTCTATCAGCATGGCACATTTTGACTTGCCAATATCTGACCATTCTTCCTTGCAAAAACACTCCAAATCTGTCAGATTGTGAGGACATCTCCTGTGCACAGCCCTGTTCAGATCACCCCACAGATTTTTGATCGGATTCAGGTCTGGGTTCTGGCTGGGCCATTGCAAAACTTTCATTTTCTTCTGGTGAAGCCATTCCTTTCTTGATTTGAATGTATGCTTTGGGCCGTTGTCATGCTGAAAGATGAAGTTCCTCTTCATGTTCATCTTTCCAGCAGAAGCCTGAAAGGTTTGTGCGAATATTGTCTGGTATTTGGAACTGTTCATAATTCCCTCTACCTTGACTAAGATCCCAGTTCCAGCTGAAGAAAAACAGCCCCAAAGCATGATGCTGCCACCACCATGCTTCACTGTGGGTATGATGTTCTTTTGGTGATGTGCAGTGTTTTTTTGCGCCAGACATATCTTTTAGAATTATGGTCATAAAGTTCAACCTTGCTTTCATCAGACCATAACACATCTTGTCACATACTTTTGGGAGACTTCAGATGTGTTTTTACAAAATTTAGCCGGGCTTGGATGTTGTTGTTCTTAAGAAAAGGCTTCCATCTTGCCACTCTACCCAGCCCAGATATATGAAGAATATGGGAGATTGTTGTCACATGTACCACACAGCCAATACTTGCCAGATATTCCTGCAGCTCCTTCAGCATTGCTGTAGGCCTCTTAGTAGCCTCCCAGACCAGATTCCTTCTCATATTTTCATCAATTTGGAGGAATATCCAGTTCTTGATAATGTCACTGTTGTGCCATATTTTCTCCACTTGATAATGACTGTCTTCACTGTGTTCCGTGGTATATCTAATGCCTCGGACACTCTTTTACTGACAGATACCTTTTAACAATGAGATCCGTCTGATGCTTTGGAAGCTCTCTGCGGACCATAGCTTTTACTGTAGGATGTGACTAAGAAAATGTCAGAAAAGACCTGAACTTTATTTGGGGTAATCAGAGGCCCTTTAAATGATGGCAGATGTGTACGGATTCTTATTTAACATGACTTTGAATGTGATTGCTTATTTCTTAACACAGCTACATCTCCAGTTATAAGAGGGTGTGCACACTTCTGAAACCACATTATTTTAGTTTTTTATGTTTACTCCCCCCCTAAAAGATTTGTTTGTTATTGAATTGTACAGTTTATAGGTCACATTAAAAGGTGGAAAAAGTTCTGAAATTATTTATCTTTGTCCCATTTTTTTACATCACAGAAACCTGACATTTTAACAGTGGTGTGTAGACTTCTTATATCCACTGTATAACCACACTGACATACAAAGTGCTTATGAGACAAGACATCTCAAGCCATCATGTGCAGTGTAATGTAAAGCAGACACTTTTCTGGATTGGTTCTGGGAAAGTTATGACACTAGTGCTAGGAACATATTGTGAGGTAATAAATGGTGCAATTAGCGTTTAAAGGTTATGTATAAAAAGTTATAAGATTGTCTTTTTTTATCACATTCTTACATAATAAAGTTGACATTTTGCAAACAGCACCAATCCCATTATATATGATGAGTATTTAGTGGTGATTGAAGAAATGACTACCGTATATATTCCCATCAGATGGCACTTTCTTTGCTGAAAATTTTAACGAAAGATATGCTTACAGATCATTTATTTTATAAGATAGAATAAAAGCATTTATTACTCCCCATCAAAACAGTAAACAGTGGGAAAATGCACACAGAAAACCAAGATTGGTAGTGTGCACATTTGACACCAGGATATTGCACTCTGGTACAAACCTCATGTCAATGGCCTGTAGAATTGTGTTTGCTTGATTGTTGACATCGTATACGAAGATCTTGAAATCACTTATGATTACGTAGGATCTCTGCCATCCCTTCTTTACTCCAGCTGGCTTGGGGACCTAAATACAGATTTTATTAGTTATACGCACAGACACACTGGTATTTACTAAAGCTGGAGAGTGCAAAATCAGGCTGACTTCTACACAGAAACCAATAAGCTTCTAGGTTTTATTGCCAAAGCTAAACTGAACAAGCTGAGGTTAGAAGCTGATTGGTTTATATGCAGAAGTGAGCCTGATTTTGCACGGTTTAGCTTTAGTAAATAAACCCCACTATTTTACAGGCTGTATACATCATCTCACGTCAAATCTTTTGGAAAAGTTACGATAATAAAGTGGGACTATATAGACACAGATCATTGCACATATAGCACCAATTTTATACATTTGCTTAGTATTGATACTCAAAAGTAGATTTCCTGGACAATTCTATTTCTAGCTACTGTGTTCTACTAAAATTTTAGCTGTAGAAATCAATCATCCAGCTCAATATACTGGAAAAGTCAGGTATTGCAAAATGACCAAAAACAGAAACAGTTTCTGTATTAGGATCATTTTATTTCCATGATTAACTGTCCGCTGGCAATGCACTATAAAATGGTAGGAAGGGAAAGCACTTCAGTTTCTATGGCTTTCAAAGAAGATAATGGTGGAGGAGCTTGATCCCTGTAAAACTATTCAATTAAGACAGGCAGCAGCACCTTGGAACAAGCTAATAAACTTACTTCAATGCATGCAAAGCCAGTCCTTTTAAAATGACTCCAGGATGTCAGATTCAGATCTTCAGTCACTAAGGTGGTGATGTGGAACATAGTATGAGTGTAGCATTAACAGAGCAGCACATTTGTAGGCAGGCATAGTAGTCCCGTAGATGATGAGCTGTGGGCATGGCTACAGACATTTGTATTAAGGGGGGACAGATTAACTGAAGCCTCTCAAAGCCACACAGTGATTTTTTTTTCCCCCACATAGTGTGAAAGTTTTTAATGTCAGGTAAACATTGTGTAGGCTTCTAGAACAATTATACACTTTTCTTAGACTAGGTTCACAACAATTCAGTTTGCGTTTTATCCGTTTCTGCAGTGCTTTTTGTGGTGTGTGTTTTTGCACATGTGGTTTTTTAATTTTTTTTTCTTGTTGCAAGGCAGATTAAAAAATTAACAAAAACGCATCAAACACACACTACATGCCTTTCTGTAGCATTTCCATTGAAGTCTATAGAACCAAAATCACAACTTTTTGCTTTTAAAAAAGTCCCTGTCCCTTTTCGAAAAACGCATCGGGGAAAACACGGAGACGTGAACGTGTCCCATAGGAAATCATGTTAAATTGACTGCAGTGCGTTTCTGCAAAACGCTTCGTAAAACGCTTAGGTGTGAACCTAGTGTTATGGATCACAGGAGTTCAATTAGTTCTGAACTCCTGTGACCCATTTTCAGACAACAGCAAGCTAAAGCCCACTGATGTCAGAGAGCCGGTCTGGGCTGTAAAAAGGCTCCAACCATATGGTAGATATCCACCAGAAGCCTGGACGAGCACCTGGCTCAGCCTCTCAGTGATCCACGAGAGTCTGAGCCAGTCCCTCCACGACCCAGTGCTCCAGTGTGCGATGGAAGGGCAGAGCAAAGAGTCGGAGACTGCTCTTAGCAGAGGGGGAGGACTGAGCAATCAGCGGTGTTTGATCGCTCAGTTCTCAGTGCAGAGGCATTGAGGGACAGATGAAGCATTGGATCAATTCTGCATCCACCTAGATAAGTATACATTTTTTTTTTAAGTCCATACTTCTTTTTCAAAGGAAAGCTGTACTGAAAGAATATGTAAGTTAACCAATGGAAGAAGGATATGTATTGCATGTTCTCCCATCTTCCAGTTCCTCTTGTTTTGCACTTTTATTTATTTTTTTAATTGTGTAGTTTGCTTTAGGTTAAGCCGTGCTTTACAGTGTTGGCACATTTACATTCTAGTAAAGCCCTGCAATACAGAGGATTTACCCAAGATGGCCATTACTTTCCAGAGCAACTTTACAACAGTTGCACATTACATGGATAAACCTGCACAATGTATATATGTTGTAACAGGCATGAGTCACTCATAATCCTGTCCAATCTTAACAAGAGGTAAAGATAAAATTTTACATACGGGGTTGAAAGTATTAGAGCCTCATGTGAGGATTAAGGAAGGCAGTTATCTGTTAAAAATTAGACTTTTAAAAAAAAAAAACACAAACATTTATATCAACCTTGGTGGATGCAGCATCGACCTGATGAGGCATCTATCCCCTCCCTCCAGCTCTGCAGTAAGATCTGCACGATCAAACTGATCACTCAGTTCTCCCTCTCTACTCTGAGCAGAGAGCCGTGACAGTCAGTCACTGGAGTGCCGAGCTGTGGAGGGGGTGGAATGGCTGGTTCAGGCTCTCAGTTATTGATCCTTGCAATAATATAGATTGTTTAGGAGGGTCTTGCTAGATAAGAAGAGTACCCTTCCTGCTGATCTCCAAATTCGAATATCCTCTAACTTTGATACAGAAGTTTTTTTGGGTCTGTTTGGGCAAAGACAAAATTATATGCTCTGGCACATTGCTTCCAGGTTTGAAATGCCTGTGACGTGGGAGGTTTGGTTAGCTCACTTCATCGTCACCATTAAAGACTTTTAAAATATAGCGAGTTTTTGGGCCAAACACCTATAGCATAGTCTTGAAAGGCCTTCCATCTAATATATATGCCTATAGCAGGACCATTTAGGTAACAGTAATTCTGTACTTGGGGGTTATAGAAACTTGCCTTAGTATAGGTCAATTAGGCAGCTCCGGCCAGTAGAGAACAATGAACTATTTGTTTATCTCTGAATTCTAATATTTTCTGGCTTTGATATATATTTTTTTCTGGGTTTGTTCTAGCAATGACAAATCCTATGCCCTGGCACAATGTTTCCAGGTTTGAATTGCCTGTGAGGTGGATGTTTGGTTAGTTCAGCTTATCTTCACCATCAAAAACCTAAATTTAGTTTTTTTGGCCAAACCTATAGATCTAGAAAAGAAGCAACATAGCACAGTCTTGAAGGTCTCTGATTTGGTATGAAGAGCTATAGCAGGATCTTACAGGGTCAAGTAATCATGTACAGTGTGGAAGCCCTGAAGCATGACTCTAGGGGTTATCTAACCATAGTGGGTTCGACTGCCAGATGCAGTATCCCACCTCAATGCCCACTACCAAGAAAAGCATAAGTGAGATATGATCTGAGAAAGCCCTTGGTAAGTATTCCACAGTTCATAACACATACAATCTGGAAAAGGTGTGGTATGTCTCTGAGTAACAGGAATATTTTTGGGTACTGAGGCTTTTCCATCTCCAGACATGTAGGATGCATATCTATCAAAACAGGTTGCTAAGGAAAGTAATTAGCGAGAAGTACCCCTCAGGAAAAAAAAAAAAAATTATATATATATATACACATATATATATATATATATATATATATATATATATATACATACAGTTGTGACCAAAATTATTCAACCCCCAATGCTGTAAAGGGGTTTAGGGACTATAGTGTACATTTGGAATTGTATTCAGAATCAAATCCTACAAGGACGTTGTAACTACCCAAATGCAACTAAAATGACATCAATTGTTTATGTAATACAGTAGTAAATGGTTTCTTATGTGGTTTCTTCATTGCCACAATTATTCAACCCCTAAGAAACTACCACTCTGAAGAACAGAGGTTCATACAGGTGCTTTCCATCAGGTATTGAAAACACCTGTGGATGTCACCGAGCAGCAATCAAGCATAATAAGCACCAATTAGGCAGCTTTAAAATGACTGTGATACTCAGCTCCTTCTAGACATTTACTGGTGTGGTTACAAAACATGGTGAAGGCAAGAGAATGGTCCAGGAAGACAAGAGAAGAGGTGATTTCTCTTCACAGGAAGGGCAATGGCTATAAGAAGATTGCAAAGATGTTAAACATACGAGACACCTTAGGAAGCATCATTCGCAAATTCAAGGCAAAGGGCACTGTTGAAACGCTACCTGGTCGTGGCAGAAAGAAGATGCTGACTTCGACTGCTGTGCGCTATACCTGAAGCGTAGAGTGGAGAGAAGTCCCCGTGTGACTGCTGAGGAACTGAGAAAAGATTTGTCAAGATGTGGGTACAGAAGTTTCAGCCCAGACAATAAGACGCACACTGCGTAATGAAGGCCTCCGTGCCAGAACTCCCAGGCGTACCCCCTTGCTGTCTCCAAAGAATAAGAAGAGTCGACTGCAGTATGCCAAAAGCCATGTGGACAAACCACAAAAGTTGTGGGATAGTGTTCTGTGGACTGATGAAACAAAATTAGAACTGTTTGGGGCCCATGGATCAACGCTATGTTTGGAGGAGGAAGAACAAGGCCTATGATGAAAAGAACACCTTGCCTACTGTGAAGCATGGTGGAGGGTCAATCATGCTTTGGGGCTGTTTTGCTTCTGCAGGTACAGGGAAGCTTCAGCGTGTGCAAGGTACCATGAATTCTCTTCAGTAAAGGAGATATTGGATGGAAAAAATTGATGCAGTCCGTCACACACCTGAGGCTTGGGAGACGTTGGACCTTTCAACAGGACAATGATTCCCAAGCATACCTCCAAGTCCACTAGAGAGGATGGTTGCAGAGGAAAGGCTGGAACATTTTGGAGAGTCACCAGACTTAAATCCGATTGAGAACCTCTGGTGGGACTTAAAGAAAGCAGTTGCAGTGCGCAAGCCTAAGAATGTGACTGAACTGGAGGCCTTTGCCCATGAAGAATGGGCGAAGATACCCGTAGATCGCTGCAAGACACTTGTGTCAAGCTATGCTTCACGTTTAAAAGCTGTTATAACTGTAAAAGGATGCTGTACTAAGTACTAAGATTGAATGTCACTTGGGGGTTGAATAAAACTGATAATGCTGTGAGCACAGAAAAGACATTTGTGGTTATTATTATAACTGTTATGTTATATTTGTCTGACCTACAAGTGCCTCTTTAATGTAAATGTAAGCAAGATGACTGAATGATCAAAAGCAATGTCAAACTGGCCAAAACACTCAATTTCAGTGGGGGTTGAATAATTTTTGGTCACAACTGTATACACACACACACACACATACATACATACACACATACATATACACACAAGTGTTTTTGAATGGTATAGGTGGTTAAGGTGGTGTGAGAAGATGACACAATGACATAAGAAGTGGGCAGCCAAAAACGCAAAGGAAGGATGTAAATGTGGACAGTGCGTGAACCCTTGTACTCTCAAATTGAAGATTGAGTGTGTAAACGATGGCAGAAAAATTGGACATGAACAGGGAAACAGTGCGGCAGATTCTAATGGAGGATTTGGGAATGAGAAAGATTTCTGCAAAGATGGTACGTCGAATCTTGACAGAAGTACGTTGTTTTCAAATTTCATCCGATCTTTTGAAGAATGCAGACGTACTTAACATTTTGTTTTTAAAAGTCCATTCCGGGAATTAAATGATCACACCTCATACATACATACATGCAAACACACTGGTCAGGGGATCTATAATAATTTGTTTAATTTAAATTTTAGTTTAGAACAAGTGCCTACACACAAGGTACTTGTAGACATGACCTATCCAGAAATACAAGCTCTATAAAACAACAATATTGCTCTCTGTAAATATTTACTTCTTATAAATTGGTGGTCAAAAACAGATAATTCATGTGTAATATAGAAGAATGAAGAGGAAAATACCCACTGATAAGTATCCTTCCAGAGCTGTTCCACTTCCAGTCCTTGGATCCACTCCATATATCTTCTTAGTCTGACTAGGTGGAGAAGGGCAGATATTGGCACCCTCCCGACATGACACATGGCACATGTAGCCACAAACTATACACATAAAATAAACAGTTAGATTGGTCTCACTTTATACTGTATTTTTATTTTTTGCTTTGTTGTGTTCCTCACCTTCACAGCACAATCCTTGCCGTGCCACTCCAACCATAACAGAGGTACAGCGCAGACACTTTGTTGGAGATGTGAAATTTTTCACTTTAAAAGCATGTGACTTAGGCTGTAACACAAATGTTCATACATGAAGTGAGAAATTCTGCAGACATTTTTAAAGAATAGAAAATTACTGAAAGCTTGTAGCTTAGCCCTCTGGTAGTAAAAGGGCTTGTACTGTCTAGCACTTTGACTGCAGTAGCAAGCATATGGTGTATCAGCATAGCACTGGCCTGTGAAATTGAAGGGTGACATGCTAAAGTAAGAAGCAACCATTTTGTTGAACTCCGTTCCCCCTCCAGGTGCTGAGGTGTAGCACGTTCACCCTCAAATACACAGTATTATAAAGCTACAGCGTTAAGTTCTTTAGGACAAAAAGGGAGGTAAACATATTTAATAGGCAGTAAGAGGTGAAGGAAGATACAGTGGGTATAGAAAAGAAAAATTACATTTTCTTGATTTGCAACCTGAAATGAAGACAGACACCGTTTTTGTTTTATCCAGCTGTACTCAGTGAAACTTTGAACATTAAAGTTAAAGATATAACACCAACATGTCAGGAAAAAAAAAAGTCAAAAACAGAATTACTGGGTTGGAAAAAGGATCACCCCCTTGTGTCAGTATTTTGTTGAACCACCTTTTGCTTTAATTACAGCCTTTAGCCTGTTGGGATATGTCTCTACTAACTTTGCACATCTAGACTTTGCAATATTTGCCCACTATTCTTTGCAGAACTGCTCAAGTTCAGTTAAATTTGATGGTGACTGTTTGTGGACTTCAGTCTTCAAGTCATTCCACAGATTTTTAATGGGGTTTAGGTTTGGGCTCTGACTAGGCCCTGCAAGGACATTCACTTTTTCTCCTTCAACCACTGTGTGATAATTTTTTTGTGTGCTTTGGGTCATTGTCATGTTGGAAGGTAAACTTTCTTCCCATTGACAACTTTCTGGCAGAGGGCAGCATTTTCCTCAAGAATTGGACGGTATCTTGCCCCATTTTTCCTTATATCCTGACAAGTGCTCCAGTCCCTGCTGCAGAGAAACACCCCCATAACAGGATATTACCACCTCCAAGCTTTACTGAAGGAATGGTGTTATTTGGATGGTGAGCTGTACTGGATTTCCGCCAGACATATCGTTTAGTGTTGAGGCCAAATAATTCAGTTTTAGTGTCATCTGACAAGAACATCTTTTTCCATGTGGGCTCAGAATCTCCAAGGTGCATTTTGGCAAAGCTCAGTCGTGACTGCATGAGGCCTCTCTTGAGGTGTGGCTTGTTTCTTGCAACCCTCCCATACAAGGCACATTTGTGGAGAATTAATGGAATGCGTACCTGATGCATAGGCCACATCCGTACAGGTGTGCCTGATGCCTGGGCGGCATCTGTACATGTGTGCCTGATGCCAGGGTAGCATCTGTACATGCGTGCCTGATGCTTAAGCCACACCCGTACATGCCTACCTGATGCTTGGGCCACACCCATACATGCGTACCTGATGCTTGGGCCACACCCGTACATGCTTACTTGATGCTTGGGCCGCACCCATACATGCATACCTGATGCTTGGGCCACACCCGTACATGCTTACTTGATGCTTGGGCCACACCCGTACATGCACACTTAAATGCATACTAACAGACTGCATACCTACACTTGCGTGACCTGCATAAAATTGCAAACTTACATAGCATACTTGTGTGAACTAGGTACTAGTATAATTTGCAAACTTACATGTCTATGTACCTGCATAGTTGCATGCTTGCTTGCCTGTGCAATCGCAAAAATGTAAACCAAGATGACTATGGACATATCTCTGCAGGATTGCATAGTTAGGCGACAATGTAGTTGCTGCTTTTTTTTTTTCTTTTACTTATAGTCCCAAAATAGGTAGCCAGTAGAGAGGCGGGTACACCACCCTGGAGTCAAGTGTTCGCGTTTCACGATACCAGTGGTGTCAAGGGTAACTGGACCACTGTGTTTGTCTGGCATTGCAGCTAATCCTCGTGGCGGAGCTGCAATGGACTATGACAACATTACCCTGTGTGCACCTGATCTAGTCTAAACTTGGACTCTAATCAGGGTCAAGCCCTGGATATTGCTTGGAGGGGAGACTGCCTGGGTATACCAGGTGTTGTAAGCATTTTCCCTCCAGAGTCTGAGATGGCTGTGTTTTGAGAATTATCTCGGGCAGAGGATGCTAGGGCAGTCTATGCGGCGATTTGAGTCACTTAACAGGTTCGCAGGCACTAAACCAAACGGGTGTGAGGTTTATCCTAGATTTCATTGCACTAGACATAGGTCTAGACATCCTCCTGTTTCAGATGGGATCAGTCCAATTAGTGGTGGCTGCTCTGCAAGAGATAGATTTCGGGTGTTGATAGCTCTTAAAGTGTTACTAAACCCAGGACCCTGAATTCACTATATCTGGTCTCCAACAGAACACAGAACATGGATATGCAGTTCTTTTAGTAAATATAAACTACTAAATACCTTTTCTCATCAGCAGTTAGAGCAGTCTTGTGACTTCTATCAGTGTCCAGCAGAGCACTGGTTAAAGCTTGTAGGAGTTTTCATTCTCCTCTAGGAGGATGCAGAACCCCTGACCTCTGTCCAGACAGTGCTGAGTGTGGCACTCTCCCAAGAAAAAAAAAACAAAAAAACACCTCTCTAGCAATATACACCAGACCTAGCATGTGTGGAGTGACACCAAACCTCTGTTCTATCAGGAGATATTTAGGAGAGAATGGAAGAAGGGGAGGTTAAACCAGAACACCACTGGTTTATCGTGAAAAGCGAACACTGCCAGATTACCCCTCCTCGAATCAACTGGACTCGAAGGCGGTGCACCTGCCTCTTTGCTGGCTACCTCTTTTGGGACTCAAAGTAAGAAAAAAAAAAAAAAGGCAGCAACTACATTGTCACCTAACTATGTAATCCCGCAGAGATATATGTCCATAGCCATCTTGGTCTACAGTTTTGCAATCTCACAGGCAAGCAAGCATGCAGCTATGCAGGTACATAGGCATGTAAGTATGCAAGTTATACCAGTACCCAGTTCACACAAGTATGCATGCAAGTATGTAATTTATGCAGTTCATGCATGTGTAGGTATGCGGTCTATGTTAGTATTCATTTAAGTATGCATGTATGGATGCGGCCCAAGCATCGGGTACGCATATACGGATGCGGCCCAAGCATTGGGCACACATGCAACTTAAGCATCAGGTACGCATGTACAGATGTGCCCAGGCATCAAGTACGCACATACAGATGCAGCCTAAGCGTCAGGCACGCACGTACCGATGCTGCCCCGGCATCAGGCATGCATGTACAAATGTGGCCTAAGCATCAGGCACGCACGTACGGATGCGGCCTAAGCATCAGGAATGCATATACAGATGCGGCCTAAGCATCACGTATGTATGCACTAATGCATGTACAAATGTACAAATGTAGTTTATTCAATATAGAGTTCACAAAACTATGCAGGTATGCATGCAATATTGTAATACCATGCTGCAGCTGTCCCGCTTTCTAGAATCATATGGTTTCAAAGAACTGCATCAAAATTAAATGCATTGGTTCCATGCTAGGCAAACACATATGTAACAAACAGCCTGAATGCAGCCTCCATGCTGCTTCAGTGCAGCTAAATATAAGGTCCTGTAGATCAAGAGCAAATGCACTTAAAGGAGTTGAGTCTCCAGAATAGTTAATACCCCTGCAGGGGTGTGTCAAAAACAATTGTACAAGCCCCCCGGGATTATGCAGGCTAATGCAGGGTACAACAATGTCCTGTCTGGTCATGCAACTCCCCAAAAGGAAATAATTACACACCATCATCCAGTCATAGACTGTTGTTTCTCAGGAGCTTCACAAACCGCCAGCCACATGGGATTACAAACACAAGCTAAAAGGGCTGCCATCTACTTCTTGCCTCCATTGCCCCAGTGTAGGCTATAGAGAGTGGCCCCACATGACCTTTAGTGACTGGAGGAGAAACTGCAGCCCAATTCTCCCTTAGAGACACACACAGCATAGCCTGGCTAGCTCAACAGCACACTGCCCCCAGTGGCTACCGAGAGAATGACAAGTCCGATTTTTCAAAGAAACACTGAAAATGCAAACTTACCATTCCTGCTGCAGGACCCTAAATCATAACAGGAGTCCAACCTTCACCCATCACGTCGGGCTTTGTCATGCAGACCTTCAAGGACTCGGTCCCCATATTGTGGGGCCACTGCTGCGGACCTGTACACCACTCGCTAGAAAGCCCCTTGGTCAGTATTATAGTGCACAGGGTTCCACTATGCAGGGTCCATCACCGAAGGCTGCATTACAGGCAAAACCCAAAGGATTCTTCTCTTTATCCAGTGAGGCTCAGGTACCATCTATTTTGGCTACACAGCTTTCCGAATGGATCCGATTAAAGTCCCTGATTCTACAAGGGAACCGTTCTGGACCTTCAGGTATGCTCCAAGAGCACATGCAACATTTCAGTGACCATCCATCTTACAGACACTGTAGGTGGGGTTATATAGGGGAGGCCTTCCTCTCTGATTGGTCAGCCAGTGTCCATTCACCCATAAGTGGAATATAACCCACATAGTCATTATTATAGCCTGCTCTGTGTCCCATGTTGTACAATAATGAAATAGACTTCACTGTGCTTCTAGGCATTGATAAAGACTTTGACATTTTGTTTTTTGTATCCATCTCCTGACTTGTGCCTGTCAACAACTTAATCTCAGGGATCTTTTGACAGTGCCTTGAAACCCATAG